CGGCCAAACGTTTGGTGTGCCCCCGCCGCTGCTGTTGCGGCCTCCTCGGGAGGGCTGCGCGCACTTGAGCGGCCCCTCCCCGGCTTCATCTTGCTCCGCTGGGATAGCAGACCCACAGCTGCAACCCCTCGCGGCATGAAAATAGAAGCTGGCCTCGCCACTTCCCGTCCACTGCCCTGTTTAACACTCTTGTTCTTTTGACCACCCCCCCACCCCCCAAACACACCAAAGGAAAGGGAGAAAGTTTTTTTTTTTTTTTGCGTGCTATTCATGACTGTTGGATTCACCTGGCGCTTTAAAAGGGGCGGGGCTGCCACTGACAGGTGACCGTTCGCGCGACTTATAAAAAACGGCATCGCAGTTTGTTTCGTGAGTGAAAACACTCACTTCGTCGTCGGCATGGCCCAATGGTAAGCTACGTGTGTGTGTGTCCGCTTTTCTCGACCAGACATGTCAAGTGACCTTTTGCATTCGATCATGATCGGTTGCTTTGTTTGTTGTTTGCTTTGCGATGCGTCCGTTGTGCTTTGTTTGACGCATCGCAATGCAATCAGTCATTATAAAAAACGGCATCGCAGTTTGTTTCGTGAGTGAAAACACTCACTTCGTCGTCGGCATGGCCCAATGGTAAGCTACGTGTGTGTGTGTCCGCTTTTCTCGACCAGACATGTCAAGTGACCTTTTGCATTCGATCATGATCGGTTGCTTTGTTTGTTGTTTGCTTTGCGATGCGTCCGTTGTGCTTTGTTTGACGCATCGCAATGCAATCAGTCAGTTGCCGTTCGCAATCGGCAGTTTAAACAGCGTGGGTTAGAGTGTTGCTGGAACGGTGGTGTCTATTTAGTTATTTTTTTGCAGAGTTGTCATGTTTGTCCGGCTGCACTGGGAGTTTAAACTGTGCACTTTGCGTTACGGCTGCAGTGAATCATGGCGCACTCCACTTCCGGGTTTGACCGTTGGGACTTGTAGTTCTTTTGTTCGATTCCACTTGATATGTTTGTGTTGTGTGGTTTCTGACGTTTAGAAAAATGAATAATCTTGACGATAATAGCACTTAGTGAAATCATGGTTGATTAGATTTTTTATGAAACGTATTGTTAAAATAAAGGTATTAATTCATGTCAATTATATACATATTTACATTGTGATGCAGAAAGAAAGATGTATTCATTTTTTTGACTGCATTTATGTGTGCTTTGGGTTATTACCTGCTCTGCTTCTGTGACAACTGCTACTGCTTCTAAATACTGATTCTGCTGCTATGACGACTGCTTCTGCTGCAAAGTGCTCCAATAAATGATCCAAAAAGTACAGAACGAGTAATCCTTCCATGCTGACCGACGATCCCTATTCAGTGGGCCGTGAAAAACGGAATTAACTGAACAATGACTCTCGTTATGTATTTATTTATTGTTTTGTTTACATCACGGCGGCACGGTGGAGGACTGGTTGGCACTTCCGCTTCACAGTGCAGAGGTGCAGGGTTCAATGCCGGCTCTGGCCTTCCTGTGTGTTTGCATGTTCTCCCTGGCGCCTACGTGGGTTTTATCCGGGTACTCCGCTTTCCTCCCACATTCCAAAAACATGCGCAGCACGCTAATGGAACACTTGAAACTGTGCCTAGGCGTGATTGTGAGCGCGGATGGTTGTTTGTCTATGTGTGCCCTGCGATTGGCTGGCCTGCAGTTCAGGGTATGCCCCGCCTACCGCCTGAAGAATGCTGGGACAGGCACTCCACCACGCCCGCGACCCTCCCGAGGAGAAGCGGAAGCCCAAGTGAATAAATGTGTCCTTGGTGGGGACATTTGTACTCGGCGACTCCTTCGTGGAAGTTTGAGGTTATGGCATGAAGTGGGCATTTCGAATTTAGAGACAAGACTGAGGGGCTGTGAATTGCTTTGCAAATGGAGGCAAGCGACGCACTCACAGAACGCGCAACACCAAAACTCAAGGCCACGAGCCTTCCAATCCACACGGCCAAGTGTGGTCGCTGGCGTTTTACCACAGGACAGTCATCGACAAACGTCCTCATCATAAATAAGTGCCCAGACGCGGATGTTTTTGTTCCTCTAGGGCAGTGGTCCCCAAACTACGGCCCGCGGGCCGGATCCGGCCCGCCTCCGCATTTGGTCCGGCCCCCTGAAAATACCACAGAGTATTTTGATTTATTTTTCATCGATGTGGATTTGTCTTTGATCATAAAGTTGGGCTTTTGCAATAAAATGTTCCTTAGTTCTGAACCGTTTTCATTATTAACTATTAATTAGTAACTATTTCATAAACACAGATACAATAAGGTGACATTTGGTGCATCTTTCTATCTGTCAAGAGGCGGCTTCATTTTGTGTGGGTTTCTGGAAAACAATCCATTTTTACATTTCCGTACTCTTGCGGTCACCCTTTTTCTGTTCCAGACTGACCCCGGCTCCCCCATCACAGAAGCGAAAGCTTATGCGGCCCTCACAGGAAAAAGTTTGGGGACCGCTGCTCTAGGGGAATGCAAGCGTTTGCTGCCACCTAGGGAAATTTTCCAGAAGGTCTCGCCCAGCCTGCCCGCAAAGCTCATGTTAGCACAGTGCTGTCATGACTCACGGATCCTTGTCGATGGCAGCATTGAAATCGCTTTGGAGTTAAATTCAGCACCGCTTTGGAGTTGAAGATCAAGATTAGGGGCTAAATCACTGTCACGGTTTTGGCTCCGTCTTTGTTTGTATTTTAACTCCAGCTGGATTGGAGGGCCTGACCTCCTGCTCTAATCAACCACATGTAGAAGGACTCGGACTTCAGCCTTGCCTCGTCCGATTAATGACTGATATTTCCTAGACCTCACGAGCATGCTCTTGTTTTGAAAGTGTTTGGGATTTTCAAGTCGCTCCTGAGTGATTATAGGGTTACGCGTGTTTGGATTAATGCCGTTTCGGTTTGTGCACTTTCGGGTGTCGAAATTACCTTGCCGTTTGTTTTGTTCGTATATTTGCTTTTCCTGGCCATTTGTTGCCAGCGATCTCTTTTGGGACTTTTGTCGGTCCTTCGTTTTTCATGTTAATAAATATTTTTTTGTTTCGTCGTTGATCTGAGCCTGCGTTTGTGGAATCCGCACACCATCTGGTTTGTTTTCGCACCTTGTCACTCACGGCCTGTCACGTAAATTATGAGCAAGCGAGAATGAAAAGCGTTCCCACAGCCAGACGCAACTATTAATGGCCGGACAGCCGACGGCTGACCAAATCGATCGGCAACTCTTTTGATGCTTGAACCTTAAGGCCGCCGGCAGCGCGGCCACGCGCATATTGAACGCTTTTCCGACAGCTTTTCTCTTCCTCGCAGTCAAGCAAGTGAAGCGGAGAGCTGTCAATCAAGCAGCCCAGCGCGCGCTGAGATTTGGGCCTGCAGAGAGACGGTTTAAAATCAAATTAAGGCGCTAAGTTAATCAGGTGGCACCTGCCATCTGTCAAACTCACATCCACATGCTTTTTTTTTTTTCTCCATTTGAACGTGAACCATTTTCACATCTTGTGTTGATGACACATTCGTTTCTTTACAATTGAAAGTGGGTCGATTGGACCAAGGCAATGTTTACTTGGAAAAAAGAAATCACCATTTGTCATTGACGGGAATGCCAGCGAACAATCGTGACAATGCACCCGACTCCTTTGTTTGGATTTGACGGTGATCTGGGGTCTTGCCAGAGGATAAGATGGGATTGACTTGGGTCACTTTGACCCAGGCGTCTCGTTACGAAGTCCGTTCCGAGTCATTTTTGAGATTCGGCAACCATCTCGCTGCTGGCAGTGAATCGGATAGATCGTCTGGAGCCAATTGTAAAAAATCCAATCGACATAATTTGTATCTCATGACGGGCTGCATTACGAATCGTTTTTCTCACGCATCTGGCGACTTTGTTTTTTCGATTTGATGACCATCTGGGCTCTTGTTGGTGGAGAAAATTGGATAATTATTCCTGAGTCAATTGTAAACATGCCAGCGAACACAGTTTGCGTCTCGTCATTTCAGGAGGCAGCCGGCTATTTTGCAGCTCCAGTTGTGATGGAGGATCCGAGTCTCCAAATGAATTTGACACGGGACAGGTTGCGTCGGACGGATGCCAGTAACTCGTCAAGAAAGCGTTTCGGTCCAAATATGTCAGCGTTTGTGTTGATGGCGCACTGATTGGATTCCGCGGGATTTCCATTGGGGGAAATGCCCCCAAACATCGTCGGTGTGTCGTTGCCAATGCAAATAAGTGAGCGTTTCCGTTGCGCCGACGACCACTTCATTGTATTTGACTTGCTCCCTCTGACCGGGGGCGGCTCAAATTGGACAACCGCCAGTAAACGTCATTCGCCAGTCATCGTTCGGCTGCGTTGGGTGTCTTTCACTAGAACACGGGTCCACTTTGACGCGCAATACAACAGGAGGGTCCGGGCGGCTTTACGTCGTCCCCCCGCGGCGTGAGCGCGCCACATGAAATGAGGTAGGAAGACATCCTCGCAGTGCCAAAAACGCACACAGGCAAGGCAAAAGCAGGCAAGTACGCAGGTGCGCAGGCAGGCGCGCGACGCCCTCCATCGTCTCACCGAGTGCGCGCACGCGCTGCGCGCTTCTCTTACCTAGGGGCTGGTGCGCGGGTTTGTATCCCTTCTCGTTGCTGCACGCTCCGCGGCCGTGGAGGAGGGCGTGCAGGGGCTTCTCTTCGCCGCTGCGCGGCAGGCATCGGAGACCCTGCGCGCACGTCCCCGTGTACACGCCGCACGCGTGGCCCTCGCTCAGCGCGCAGGTCAGGCAGCAGCCGCAGCCCGGCTCCTTGACCAGCTGGCAGCCGCTCGGGATCGGCGGGCACATGGACTTGGCCTTGTCGTCGCACGTCTCGCACGGCACGTACGAGCCCCAGCAGCAGCAGCCGCGCAGTCCCCACAGAAGCGGCGCCAACAGGCACAAGGTCCCAAACATCGTTGTCGTCGTCTCGCCTTCGGTTATCGCGCACGTCAAAAAAAAAAAAAAAAAAAAGCGGGGGGGGGGGGGGGGGGGGGGGGGGGGGGGGGGGGGGGGGGGGGAGGAGGGAGGGGGAGGGACGGAGGAGGGGGAGGAGGAGGAGGAGGGGGGGAAAAGTGGACCGCTCTAATGAAGCACAATGCCTCGATCAGATAATCCAGTCTTAAAAGCTAAAGGCAAGAGTCTTGATCCAACGGGTGTTTCTATCTCATTCAAAACAAAAGCCAAAAAAAAAAAAAAGCACCTTAATTAGAAGCTTGGACAAGCGGGCGCTCTCTCACCCCGAAAATGAGCGTCCGCTGCGAGAAGACCCCCCAGCCCCCAAAAAATGTTAAAAAAAACCCCAACAAAAAAAAACCGTCTTGGCATTAAGCGAGGGCGACAAAAGTCCAAAGGCTCGCCTTCAGTGAGCGCGACTTTCTTCAGCTGACGATCCAGAGCAGACTGATCAACTTGGGAGCTGCTTTGGCTTTTTAAAAACAGCCCGAGCAGCAGCCGGGGAAGGGAGGCGCACTTGTTCCACCGCTTGGAGCCACGCCAAAACTTCTCGCCCGCGCTCTCTCTCTCTTTCTCCCCCACCCTCACTCCCTCCCTCTCTGTCTCTCCCTCTCTGTCTCGCTCACCCACTCTCTCCCCCCCC